AGAGAAAATGTTTCAAGCTCTTCGTTCTCTTTCAGCTATCTTCTCCATACCTCAGAGTGTCCAGTCTGAAGAGTGGATCCTCCACTTTAGACGAGAGCAGCTGCACACCTGAGTCTCCTGGATGGTTGTAGCTCAGGTCCAGCTCTTTCAGATGGGACGGGTTGGAGGTCAGAGCTGAGACCACAGCAGTACAGCCTTCCTCTGTGACCAGACAACCTGCCAGCCTGGAGACACACAAAGCAACACAATTCTAGTCAACACCTGGTGATATGATGACACAAAAGCAAACCGTCATTGAACGGCACAAGCCTTTGGACCAAATCGGTGAGTATTCTGTGTGAAAAGGCCATAATGCAAACCACATCTTTATGGTTGAACAGGTGATAAGTCCTGACCTGAGACTCTCCAGTTTACAGTGAGGACTCTCCAGTCCCACAGAAAGCAGCTTCACTCCTGAATCCTGCAGNAAGATGGATAACAGTAACTTTGAGTGCTACAAGGAGACACAAAACAACCCCAGTTTGACTGAAATTACCCCAGAGAGTTATGACATGCTCCCAGAGACAAAATAAACCTCAAAAAAATGAAAATAATATGCTGAAGATGATGCTTCATTTGACAGCTGGAGTGTCCCGTTTCTTTGCATCGACAGCTGCTTCTATCTGGATCAGTGGCAACGACAGAAGTGCGTGAAACTTAATTATGTCTTAGAAAACCAGGCCTTACATTTAGGATGATTACAGATAATGCTATAGAACTGTTTGGCTGTGTGTTTGTGGTCTATCTAACATCCTTATTTACACCGCGATTACCAAGATTTACAGTTGGGTTTTAAATATAAAATAACGAAGTTATCTCTTTTGTACTTATCCTTCTGTTTATAATCTCTAAACTATGACCCTCGTGAATGACATCAAGTCATTTTAATGCATTAGAAACCACAGTGTGGAGGCTGCATACACTCTTCAGAAAGTCCAAATCCGCATAATGTAAGTTTATTTGTTCCTTTAAAGTTATTTAACAATTCTATTGGTGATAGTTAAGGCACTGAGCAAGAGGAGACTTGCAGAGCTGACTACAATACCTTTATGGTACCACACCTGCCGCTGCCAAGATGGCTGCCAGGTGTCGGGACTAGGCCTTTAAGCCTTCCGTGAGAAAACAGGAAGAAGAAAAGCACCAACACTGCTGACAAACAGTATTCTGACGCATTACACGTTAAACATATATTCTATTCACTTTCATATTAAAATTAAACCCTCTAAAAAGTCTCCTGCTGTCTGGGTCCAATCACAGCGGGTAACGCGCGGCTGTCCGGCCGAGTTCAGGCCCCTCTGAGCGGCTCTGAGCGGCTCCTCATCCCGCCTCCTCCACAGGCTGATTCAGGCATCAGAAAGTGGAGATACACAGCAAAAAAACGACCGATTTCACCCCAAGACCCGCACTTACCTTTACTTTATTACCACTTATGCACTTTACGGACACTTTATTACTTTATTCGACATTTTCTGACCACAAACACAAAACGGCGGCCATGTTGGTCAGGTTTACCGATTTAGACCGAACCTTCCAGCGCCAGTGAAAGTGTGAAGCGGCAGGTTTCTGCTGCTTTTCTCGACAATAATTTCACACTTCAAGGTGAAAACAAACGAATTCAACGTTAAAAGCTGCTTACATTACCTTCACTCGGAGCCTGGAGCCTGGAGCTTGGAGCGGAGAGCTGCAACACCCGCTCCAACAATATGACGCAGATCATGAGTGAGGCGTTTGAGTGCAAGTGAAAAAAAATCAGGCATCAGAGCGTCCAGCCGGAGTTGAACTGCGTTTAGGAAAATAACACCTCTAAATGTTTGTTGAACTTCAATAATAATTACACTTAAAACATAACGTACTTGCTTGAAACACAAAAAAAGTTTAATAGCAAGGCATTTAATTATCAATGTAATCTGACACTTGGAATCCAAAACATGACAAACCACATATTAAAGACATTATTGTACTGATTATTGTTGTTATTGTTGTTTACGTTGCTGTTGTTAATATTATGCATGTTTTCCATTTTTATACTTATTTCAATTTTTTATGTTTACCTCTTCTTCATTTTTAGGCACATTAAACAAACAAACAAACAAACAACAGACATTGTGCCAAAACACTTACCGTTGAAAAATAAGATTGGTTTTCTAAATTAATTGAACATGTTTAAATCTTGACAGTATTATAAATATTTCCAGTATTATCAATTCTAAAAAAACCTAACAAGTGTATTTATGAAGGTTTAGACCCCACAATAGAATTAATTAAAGACTAATTTAAACATAAAGGCTAAGACTCTCCAGTAAATAACTCTAAACTAATTTAGAACTACGTATTTATGAACCCTGAGGCATCAAGTTCAAAGTTACAGAGGACCTTACAGACAACATGTGTGTATACTTCTACTACTACTACTACTACTAATGATATATTCTTTTGCCACTTGCACTGAGGTAGGTTCCTTTGACCAAAAACATTCCTGACAACACTCGTCACTACCTGGAGCCTGCAGCATTGACCGGAGAGCTGCAACACTCGCTGCGAACCATGAAACCGAAAGTTAACGGTGAGTGATGCGTTTGAGTGCAAGAGAAA